GGGAAAGAGGAACGCATCAGAACTAATTAAAAACAACGGTGTATAAAGCATTAAAGTAATATCAAGAAAAAAGGTTAGAAAAAAAAAATTAACACATCCTTCAACTAAAAGTTTACTTCTTGGAGGGTTAGGAAATTGAGGGGCAGAGAAAAGAAAAATGGGTTCCGCAGAATGATATTAAAAAGGATAGGAGAAATCCATGACTTGTTCTCTTATCCGCGGAGATGGTGAAGCTCTGGGGATCTTCGTTATCCATTTCTCCATTCCCCTCCGTCATCTCTAGATCTTCTCACACATGCTCCGCGACAGCCTCCTATCTCCCCCCTTTGTTCAGGTTTGCCGTTTCCCATCATATTTCGGCCATTATATATATAAAATATCTCGTCAAGGGGCCGGGTTGTGGTGTCCGTGTGTTGCAGCGTCGCCCCGATGATGGATTGGACGGACCATCATTATAGGACGCTCGCTCGTCTTATCTCGTCTCACGCTTGGCTTTACACCGAGATGATTGCAGCTGATACTCTTCTCTACCACCACCCCCATCTCGTCTGTTTGCTCTCTTCTTCAAATACTTTTTTCTTAATTGTTTCCGGACAATCTCTCTGTGACCTGTCCTCTTTTGCGCATATTTCTCAGGACAAGTTCTTGGCTTTTTCTCCCCATCAACATCCTATTGTTCTTCAACTAGGTGGAAGCAATGTCCAGAGCCTCGCAAAGGCTGCTCAGCTTGCTACTCCTTACGGATACGACGAAATCAATCTCAAGTTTGTGCTCTCCCTTTTCTCTCGTCTTTGTTATTGAGCTTGGACGTCAACTTATACTGGGCTTTGTTGGCATAGCTGTGGATGTCCCAGCCCCAGGGTCGCTGGCCATGGGTGCTTTGGTGTTAGTCTTATGCTCCATCCTCAGGTCTGTCAGCTTCAAGATATGTATATCCTTCTCCATAGTGCATCTTACTCTTACATTTTCTTTTGTAATTTTCACTGAAAGCTGGTTGGAGAGGCTATGTCAGCCATTGCTGCCAACACCAATGTCCCTGTCACTGTGAAATGCCGAATTGGCGTTGATGATCATGATTCATACGATGAGCTTTGTGAGTTCCTTTCTAAACGGCTTTTGGTTTTCTTTTTTCTTTTTTCAAGTTTCATATGTGCTTGTTGTACCACCTCTCAAGGCCTTCTGTCAGTTTGCAGCCTGCACATTGTAACTTCTCCTTTTGCCAATTACTCTCAGGCGACTTTGTCTACAAGGTTTCTATTCTATCACCAACCAGGCATTTCATTATACATTCGCGGAAGGCACTGCTCGATGGAATCAGCCCTGCGGACAACCGACGAATTCCTCCTCTTAAGTATGACTAGCATTCGCTCTCTCAATGGTTTGTCTAAACAATGGAAGACCGCATCTTGGGTACCGCATTTTTTGAAAATTTGTTTTACATGATCTATTATGTCATTGTAATTACGCCTTTCTGCTCCAAGCTCAGGTACGAGTACTACTATGCCCTTTTGCGTGACTTTCCAAACTTGAAATTCACGATAAATGGAGGCATAACTTCTGTGTCTGAGGTGACCTTTACAGAAAAACTGATCATCTGGCTACACTTTCTGTTAACGTGATTGTTTAGAAGGAGAAACTGGATAACCATCTTTTGGGTTTTAAGGTAAATGCTGCACTGAGAGAAGGAGCTCATGGAGTCATGGTCGGCCGTGCTGCTTACAACAAGTACTGTGGAAATGCATTACAAAACTTGTTTATATTGATTTTAGAGATTTGGATCGGTTCCAAAGTTCATTGTCTCTATGCTCTTGACAGTCCATGGCAGACTCTAGGACATGTTGACACTGCAGTTTATGGTGTTCCAAGCAGCGGTCTTACCCGCCGACAGGTTCCTTTGAAGAATTCATTTCATGAATTGCTTTTTTTCTTTTTGTACTACACAGGACAATTTTCTAACATAATCAATTGTGCTATATCTGATTGTTTTCAGGTTCTTGAACAATATCATGTGTACGGAGACTCTGTTATAGGGACCCATGGAAATGGGAGGCCTAACGTGAGGGATGTGGTGAAGGTAGGACTCCTACAAAAAAGCCTGTCCGGGATTTGGTCATTTACCTCCCTTACTCTCGGAACTAATCTCACCTTTGCATCTGGAAATGTTTTCAACCCACTGTAGCCATTGCTACACCTTTTCCGTTCAGAGCCGGGTAATGGCCTGTGGAAGCGCAGAGCAGACGCTGCTCTCAGGAAGTGCTCGGTGGGTCTTTTATCAGTGTTTTACAACAAAAATTGTATTTGTAATTTTTGTGCATTTGTTTTATAAATAATGTAGTTCAAAGTTGACTTAGACTACAATCTTGAACCAATCGCTGCCTGCTTATCAAGTTATCCCAACCCTAATTGTTGATCAACCTTAGTTGACTACTAGTTGATCATGTTTTGCAGACTGTTAAATCCTTCCTCGAAGAAACCTTGACGGCCATCCCCGATTTTGTCTTGGATTCGCCTGTCTCTGAAGTTCCGCCCGGGCAGGAAGATCTTTTTGCTAATGTATACAGTTTAATGCCTCCTCCATTTGAACCTCGAGGGCAACTCATATTATGTGCTTAGGTTCATACTTACTCGTGTATTCAAATGTTTTATGGTGCATTAAAATGAGATATGAGTGACTTGGATTGACATGTAGAGCATTTACTATCTAGTTGGCCGTTACCAGATGCAACAAACAAGTAGACAAAAACCGAGATGTGCTATACTTCTTTCCAAATGATTTTGGAGGGGGGAATCTGTTTGAACCTAATATGACATGAATGGTGTCTGATCAAAAGATAAGTGACATAAGCCTGTGAACATTTACGTATGTCTTTGGTCAGTTACATGGATCTGACTAAATTTTAGATGAACATAATAAGATAATGGGACCAACGAACGGCAAAAGATAGGGTGTCAATTGGGCTGATCCGGTTCGAGTCCATTTTGGATTCGGTTTCGAGTTTGCATGGGTCTAAAAAATCAATCTCGAAGTTTGATCCTATTGACCTCGAGTCGGGTCTAGGGGTATCAATCGGGTCGACCCGGCCCAATCCGGCCCGAGTCCGCATTCGGTCCGAAGGTTTCGCGTTCGGATTCGGGCTGGCCCGATTTTTTTCGCGTCTAACTAGTTAAGCCCGAAGCCCGACCCTATATATACCGGGTTCGGGTCGGACCGGACCGGATCGGTATGCATAAATCCTTTGTAAAACTTATTTTTTTTTTAAATATCGGATTTTCGGATCGATCCGATTCGAACTCGAAGTCCGAATTTTTTCGGACAGAGAAATTTAGGCTCGAAGTCCGCTAATTTTATCAACTGGTTTTTTCTAATTAATTTTTTTTGAAAAAAAAATTAGATTTTCATACCAACCTAAAATCCGATTTAAATCCGATACAAAAGCCCAAATTTATTCAAAAGGTCCGAAATATTTATCGGGTGAATTTGATCGGACTTTGCGTTCCCGACCAAAATTAACACACGGAGAAGGGTAAAAGGAAGTTAAGAACGGGAACCCAGGGGGAAAAAAGCAGAATACACAAAAAAAAAAGAAAAAAAGAAGGCGGATTAGAAAGAAAAAAAAGGGACTCCCAATCCCGATAGGGGAGAAGAGGGCAAAGGTTAGCTCAGCTTGAGGGAGGAAAGTGCAAGTCGTAAGCGTCAATTCAGGTTTTCGCAGAGGAAGTTGGGAAATAGGGTTTAGCGATGGAACCACTGGTCGTTGATGCGGGCTCCAAGCTCCTCAAAGCAGGAGCTGCAATACCCGATCAAGCCCCTGCAATGGTACGTAACTTTCCCACTCTCTTCTTCCGTTTCCGAACAGTGTTGGAGACACGAAGTGATGCGGTCTTTAGCAAGCTTTTCTTCTCTGTCTTAGGGATTCGCATCAAGTAGTTTGTTTCAGAGTTCTATTTTGTTTCAAGCTCATATACTTGCTTTGAACCTTAACTTTCTTCTTGTCATTGGAGAAACACCGGTAGTGCTGCTTCAACAATCACAGTCCTCTGCTAAAATTTTGCTCGGTTACCCTGTCAGATAATTCCATCACAAATGAAGCGCATGCTTGATGGGTCCTCAGCTGATAATCCCGTGTTCGAGGACGTTACTGTTAATCCTATTGAACGGGGCTTCATTAAGGATTGGGATGCCATGGAAGATTTGCTCCGGTTTGTTGTATACACTGGGATCGGCTGGGAGGAGGGAAATGAAGGTCATATACTAGTCACAGATCCACTCTCTACTCCCAAGGTTTCGCATCTCAACTCTCTCTCGCTGAATTTCCTTGTTCTGGATTCTCTCTTCTCTTGCAAAAGTTGTGTTTCATTGTCTTGTTCTTGCGATTTTTTAAAATCGGCTCTACCAGACGTATGGCATTCAAATTTCCACTTTCTTTCTGTCCCGCTGTATGTAACAGAAGAATGTGACACCACAGAGCTTGACATTCCTCTGATATTAGCTTTTGAAAACCATCTTCAGAGTTTAATGGCGTAGTTTCCATGAAACAATTCAAACAGAACATTTTCTATTTGTGAAAGGTCCCACATTGTTGCACTAGTATCACATTTAAAAGTGAAATGCTGGGACGTGCTGATTTTCCTGTAGTGTGAACTAATATTGGCCATATTCTCCTTAAATGTTTCTTTTGGGCAGGCTATTAGAGAACAATTAGTGCAATTGATGTTTGAAACATTCAATGTCTCTGGATTTTATGCATCAGAGCAAGCTGTATTGTCCCTTTATGCTGTTGGGCGGATCTCGGGTTGCACTGTTGATATTGGTCATGGCAAGATAGGTAGCTCGTTTGGCCTTTGTGATAATTATTTATTCCGTGTCCTTATTTTTCTTCTTTTCTCTTCTTTTTGTGTATGTGAACTATATGCTTGCATGATGTATTATTACTGATGAAGTTTAAAGCAAAATCCATATTGCATGATGTATGTTCAATGATAAAATTTAAAGCAATTCATATTGCACGATGAAAATTCAAAAATCAAGTTCAAAGCAATTCATATTGCATGATATATGTTCAATGACGAAGTTTAAAGCAATTCATATTTGTTATACCACTTGTTACGAAAACCTTTTATATTCAAGGCTTTGAACTCTGATAGCTTCGTTAGCCAATACTTTCATCCTGATGGTGGACTTTCTCATGGTTGAATTGAACTGACAGTTCATGCTTATCTAGTTGGTTTTGCTAATTGTTATGTTATATCTTTTAGCATGTTATGATACTTCAACCTGTGATTGATCTCTCTATTGCTCACCCTGTCGCAGGCATATTTAACTCTTTCTGTTGTAGCAGATATCGCTCCAGTTCTTGAAGGTGCTGTTCAGCACATTGCCTCAAAACGTTTTGAGCTTGGTGGAGCTGATCTAACAAAACTATTTGTTCAAGAGCTTGGGAAATCCAACCCATTGATGAATCTTAACATGTCTGATGTCGAAAAACTGAAGCATCAGTATGCATGTTGTGCTGAGGATGAAGTTTCATACGAGAAAACTCAGAACTGTGCAATGGAGCAGCATACCCTTCCTGATGGACAGGTTTGTGACTATAGATCAATAACTACAATTGTGCTGTCAGCTGAATTTGGTGTCTGGTTCCTTCTTCCATAGCCTCTCCATTGTTGTTTTGTCAGTGCATGCTCTGAACAGATTTTCCGTTGTTTGCTCGAGTCTTTTGACATCTTAGATTGGCCGAGTAATGTTGTACCCCATTGTAAGTGTCATTCTGTGTCTATGCATGTGAACTAATCCACCTTAGAATTGTCCCGAGACAGTCCGAGAAAGAGTTTTAAACACCCCGAAAACAATGATGCGGTTAACATGCACTTGTATCAGAAGACTCCCAAGTTTCTATGCAGTTTACTTGCAAGCCCAAATGTATACTAGCATCAAGAAACTGATCTAACTCAGACGACGACCAGTTTGGGTTTCCTATTCCATGTGTTCTATTTCTGTACTTTGTGTAGTATTGTTTGCTTCTGCCATGTCGAGTTGTCTGCGTTCCAGAGACTGCAAGGTTTATTATATTTGTCCGGGTGGTTTTAGGTGATAACCGTTGGACGGGAGAGATACACTGTTGGTGAAGCTCTATTCCAGCCATCAATATGGGGTCTAGAGGAGCATGGAATCGTTGAGGAGCTTGTCCACATTATCTCTACGGTGTCATCTGAGAACCACCGGCAGCTGTTAGAGAATACCGTACTTTGTGGTGGTACAACCTCCATTGCGGGTGAGTTACCCTTGTGGCTTGTGAAACTTCAAACTTTGGACCCTGTGACTGGGTTTTTGGAATTTCAAAATGCATTGACAGAAACATCTGTAATCGTGGCAGGGTTTGAAGCTAGATTTCAGAAAGAATCAAACCTGTCTTCATCTGCTATCCGACCTTCCCTGGTTAAGGCAAATCCCAAGCTCCAATTTTGTCATAGATGTCATTTTTTTCACTCTGCTAATGGTTTCATGAAGTCTCCACATTTGTTTTGTGTACAGCCACCCGAGTACATGCCTGAGAATTTGGCGATGTGTTCAGCATGGGTGGGAGGAGCAATACTTGCCAAGGTTGTGTTCCCTCAGAACCAACATGTAACAAAAGCAGACTACGACGAGACTGGGCCCTCTGTTGTTCACAGGAAATGCTTCTGACGGTGTTTTATGTCTGAGATATTCAGCATCTGTTATGTTGTTCTCCATGATATGTGTTGCACCTATGTTAAATTAAAACACGGAAATTGAAGGAAAGGGATTCGTGGCTTTGCTAAAGTAAGTGCTGAGGCCTTATTCCTGTTTTTTGGCTATTGTTCATATGATTATGCTCTGCTTACTGTGTTCTTGGGATGGTGACACGATGAATAATTATCAAGTAAAGGCTCTTTCCGCAAAATCTTCTCGCAATGGCAAGCGTTTTGTTTTACAAATGTTACCCTTTGGCCTTCCGACATTATTCATGTAAAACATCTTTTCTACATATTTTTCCTATTTCTTGTCCACGTTACTTGAGCTTCTGATAAATTCTCTATATTTAAGTAGGGTATAAATCTTATGTCTAATAGTTAAGGAGGAAGATGAATCTTGTATAGAGTGGGTTTAGGAGCATATAAAACAGGTCATTATGTACACAGAAACTTCAATGGCGAACATAAGAGATTGTAAGTTCACACTATCTTCGGAGTTGGTGGCAGAGTATTTTTCATAACCTTAGATACCTTTTCGGTTCACGACGGGGTTCTGAAACTTGGAAAAACAAATCCGTAAAAGATGTGAAGATTGGTTTAGCGTCTGGACGGGGACGGTAGAGGGAACGAATAGCAATGGGATCCCAGAGAGGGAGAGGAGGGATGAGGTCAAGAGGCGGCCATCGTCTGCAGCATATCTTATGGGTGGACACGTAGAGCGTATGGACACTTCCAAATCTACCACGTGGCACCGCTTCCACGTTCTCATCGGCTCCACCCCCCCTTGTCTTTTGCTTATTTAAGAAGGAATGAATAAGCCATATCCATATAACGATAACAATAGTTAGTATGGCACTAGCAGAAGAGCCCATCCTGTCAAGATTGGATCGGCTGGACAACATGGTGAGGAGGCTGGAGGAGATGAAAGGGAGTGGGAGATGGATCCCTTCGTCTCCCTCCACGGTCACGAGTGAGGGTCAGCATTCGTCTTCCTTGGATACCTCCCCCAGGAGCATCGACAAGCACTGCCTTCCCATGGATCGCGTCATCGTCGAGACTGAGCTCAAAGGCACCCTTCTCCATCGCCTCCATCATCTCGAGGATCGTCTCTCCAAGGTCGAGGACACTTTTTATTCTTATTTCATACATGTTTACTTCATTATATATGTAGTAATGAACATTAATTCCATTAGGGTCTCATTCAGCTATGTTTACAGTTGGAACACGAGCTCGAGAGGAAAACAGAGGAGAACAAACCCAAGAAGCAAAAGGGCCTAAAAAAACTCGTCAAAAAGGTCGTCCGTTACGGGGGATCCCCCCGTTCCCTGTAATTTTCCAAACATCGCACTCTTCACTTCTATTAAGGTTTGAGTTTTAGAGTCAAGCTTAGGGAGCCTGTTTTTCTGCTGTATTTCCAAGAGACTGATGAAGTGTGTGGATAGGTCCTTTTTTTTTGTCTGTGCGTGCACTTGCGCTTTTTTTATTTTTAACTTTGATAAAAAAAAGAATGTATATGGACTAAAAGGATTTGCAGACAAATTGATGGATCTTTTGTGGTAATTCTCGCTCACTTCATGGATTATTTCCAAAAAAAATTGATTAAGATAATGGTACGGGAACAGTTTGCACAACTCAAAACTCAAACTCAGCAATGGGCTCGTCACGTGTCAATAAAATTGGACTTAAAGTTGGGCCTTGGTTGGGCCCCATTCATAAAGACTAGGATCCCCGCGAAAATCAATCCTCCAAAAGGAATCAAAATCCCTTCCATCTCCTTGCGCCTTGGAGGAATTCAAGTCAGATCTTCGTCGGAGGTGATTCTTTTGCTCTCTCCTGTCTTTTTTTCTCCTCTCTCCACATTGTTAGATCTCCTATTGGTTTCATCGGCGCTAACATTGATATACAATCTATTTCCCCTGTCGGAATTTGGGGGTATAATATCATCCATCTCTCTCTCTCTCTAGTTTCTGATTCCTGATCTGGATATGGAAGAGCACTTGGCAAACTCTCCTCGGCTTGATGGTATCGAAGCTAGGTATATCTCTGGTCTGAGTACTATAATGGTTGCCACCATCCAGGAAGCCAAAGACAGGATTTCTCAGATCGAGTACATCTTCTGCAGCCAATTATTCCCAACTCTTCAATCAAATTCAAAACCCCTGAAAATGGTTTATTCCGAGGCTCGTAACGCGGCCGAGGATTCCTGGAAAGAGACTGAAAAGGGTCTGTTATGTGAGATTGAAGAGCTTAAGCTGCAAAACCAACAGATCTTGGCTGAGAATCGGGCCCTAAAACTGGAGAAGGAAAAGCAATCCCGAGAATTTGATTCAACTTCTAGCCTGCTTCTCAAGGTAAGAACCCAGCATGAGAAAATTGAGGAGTTAACATTGGAGTTAAGGGAGAAATCAAAGGAACCTGATGATGGGATGGAGTTCTACAACAGACTGGTACAGTTTGAGAGTCCGGATTTGCTCAATAAAGAGAAGCAATTAAAAGAGCACGAAAAGGAGATTAATATGCTTCTTTCTCAAGTGAAGAGCCTGGAGAGAAAGACAGACTTTCTTCAAGAGGAACTTTCCAGGAAATCCTTGGTGGCAGAGAATCTGCTGAAGAAACTAGAATCTCTGTCGGTAGAGTCCACAAACAGCGAGCACAAGCTAAGCTGTCTTGGAGAAGAGAAGGAAAGACTGATTACCAGGTTGCAGATTTTTGAGGAAAACGTCCGTAGACTAGAAGAGTTGTTAAGACATAAAACTGACGAGCTTGAGGATGGAAGGAAGATTCTGGAAGGATACCGTAAAAAACTCAATTTGACTGAGATAGAATTGCTGGAGAAGAAACAACAGCTAGCTGATGATGAGAAAGAAAAGAAGTTGCTTTTGGAGAAAGTAAGAACCTTGGAGAAGGAAGCTAATAAAATGCATAAACAGCTTGGAGAACGAGGTTGCAAGTTCCTTGGAGAAAGAGGGGAGTATGAAGCTTTATGTTGCCAGAAAGAAGAAAAATCACCCGCGTTAGCTTTGGAGAGAAAGAGAAGAAAAGAGGCGTATGATGCTTACAAAAGGCTAAAATCTCAATATAATTTCCTCTGCAAGAGGTTCGGCCTTTCTGCTGACTCTGTTCTTCACCAAGATCTTGAGGAAACTAAGCAACTGGAGCAGAATGAGAGAGGTTCGGCTGTTCCACTTGGTATTGGTAGGTGTTCTTCGCCCTATCATTTCCTTAATCCCTGTGCTTAATATTTTTAACTACCGCTCTGACTTTTCTCTATGCTGTTTGGGTTAAGGGAGTGATAGTTTGCTAGATTTTCCAGCTGTCAGTATTTTCTCCGTGAGAAAGAGAGAATAACCGAAACGGCTCAGGTGCTGGCTTCTTCTCCTCTCACTATAAGCTTGCCTAGTGCTAAAAATAGTCTATCTGACGCAAAACCCGCATCAATAACTGGATCTAAGCGTCCTGCTACAAGCTGGAGGGACACAAGGTCCCGTCAATCCCCAGGTGTCTTGGATCCTCATGATGATTTTCTAGATACTCCCTTTGAAAATATCAGGAAGGACTTGGTCATAGTCAGGGGGGAAGAAACCCAAGACCTTTCTGATGGTAAGAAACATGATTCAGATAAGGAGACACAGGACATGAATCCTAACACTAGTCCAACAAAAAAACGGATTCAGGTAGTCGGAACGAGTAAAAGAGCTTTCAAGTACGTGACAGCTGTGAGGAAAAAATCTGAAAGGGAAAACTTGAAAGGAATAGAATGCAAGCAGTGCAAGAAATTCTATGATGCTGTTCTTCCAGAGAATGAAGGGGAGGAGACTGGTGGCAACAAGAAAAGCTTCAGATGCGAACACCACGAAGGAGTTTCGAGGCATCGGTACAAACATGCACCTCCAATGACTCCTGAAGGGTTTTGGAACATTGGGTTCGAGTCAGAAATGTGAATCTCCATAGGTGTGGAGCTCCTCTTTCGGGTGCATATTGAAGTTCGTAGCTACAAAAGATAAGTGCTGGGTGGCATAACAATGGAAAAATCTGCTCATCAAATGGTCGTATGAGCAATAGAGGTCTGTTCATTCAACAGCTAATTTTAACTTTGATTCCCTAGTTCATTCATGTATGCAAATTTCCAGATTCAAACAGATCTTTTGGGTCTGTTGTAATTATTGTTCACTAAAAGCCAGAATTTCGAGACCCTAAAATCTGGACGAATGGTAGAAAGCCCTTAAAATCAGGGCAATTGGGTATGATTTGTGTCTGAACGTATCTACAATGCGCCTTGATTCAGAATGTCCTCTACTGATTCAGGTTCAGCTTGAGGCCACCGGGGAAATGGGAGATAGTGCGGGTCGGGGAATCGCAAAGGGATGCCTTCCCAAATGGCGAACATGGTCCTTGAAACATTAAGAGTTAAAATTCTCTAAAAAACTTAGAAAATTTCATTTTCCAAATAAAATTAAAGAAAATATCTCAAATGAGTTTATAAAAAAATTTAGAAGATTATTCAGTGATAAAATAGACATAAAACGATAATTTTCGCCAAAAAATTAAATCTAACTCGACAAATAAATAAACGGATTTATACAAAAATTAATCTCCGAAAAAACATCTTTCGATTTTAAATATCTTGATGTAAGCCTCTCACGTCCCAGCAAGCAGCGGAATTTGACAGCACGTTCCAACACCAATCACCCGCACAAGTGCACTCGAACTCGATAAAGGAAACGAATGATAGTTTTGGATGGTTTGAAGGGATGACTTTAGGATCAATCACATGCCAAGAATGGAACTCGAACTCAATCCTAAAGTGGAAATGGATGAAGAAATGAAGGAGAGTTGCCCTCGGACGAACCAAGAGTAACGCGTTCGGACAAACCGAATAGTTGTGTGCTCGGACAAACCAAGGCGAAAAGAGAATAATTCTCCAAATAGATTTCGAAATGATCTGATCAAAAGTGATCTCCAATATCTTACAAAGCAGAATATAAAGGCATAAAGATGTTACAACAGCTAGTTTTGCAATTAATGATTAACTAATGCATAAAAAACACAATAAATGCATTGTTTGTTCCAAAACATGTGTTGTCCAATGCCTTGTGTTCTAAGTAACTTCCTTTGTCTTTCTTCAAGCATAATCCACGTCTAGGGTTCCCAAGATAGCTAAGTTGTACGTCTTCAATGATCCAAGAGAGATGTCGTTCGGATTGTTGGCTCGGAGTTCGTCCAATGTGCGAGAAACGAACGTATTGATACGTTGCCGTATAGCTCGTGCCTTGGCTTGAGTAAGAGGTGGTTCGATTCGTGAAGAAGGCACTTGAGACGTTCTTACTTTTGGTTCTCCCTTAAATGTAGAATTGGTCGAGTGTTCTCTCGTGCTATCCGCAAGCTCCATATGCTCCGCAAGCTATGCATGTTCCGCAAGCTCCATGTGTTCCGCAAGCTCCGTGTGCTCCTTCTCGTACTCCTTGCCTTCGATGTCCTCATCATACCTTCACTAACTATTTTTGGGAACTAAAAATTTAAATAAATTTTCAATTAAAAAATAATTCGGTAAACTCGTTAAGGATACATAGCCGAGTTTAAACCAAATTTCTTGTTTCATAAGCAATTTTTCTCCCAATTCAAGTAATGATTTCGAATGAACTAAAAATAATTCAAATAATTCTTCTAATCCAATAATTTTTACAAATCCCTGATTAAATTTGATTAAAAATGAGATTTTAAATATAATAATAATTGTTGTATATATATGTTGGTTATAATTATTTTTATTTTAATATATATATATATATATATTAGTTGTATATATATGTTGTATGTATAACTAATATATATACATATACATATTATTTTTAATATATATTATATGTATATATGTTATTTATAATTGTTTTATTTTAATATGTATATTATGTATGTATATAAAATTAATTGTAATTATTTTTATTTTAATATATATATATATGTACTAGTTATAATATACATATATATTGTAGTTATGTGTATGTGTTTTATTAATTACAAAATTTTTTATTTTTAATATATATATATATGTATATGTGAATTTATATATATATATTAATCTTTGAATAAGCAGACGAGGAGATTTTCGGTGAATTTTAAAAAGTTCAGGGTTTTATGGGATAATCATATCAAGTATAAGATTTAATTGGTAAGTAAAAAAGTACAGAGTTTTTTCGTTGATCTGAGAAGAATACAGAGTTTTTTTGGCAATATCTTCTTTTATATATTTATACGTATACGTATATATGTGTATATACTTAAATATATATATACATATTTACGTATAAATATTCATACATATATATATGTGTATATATATATATGTATGTGAGTATGTGAGTATGTATATATGTATATGTGTATTTATATATATAAATATTTATATATATAAACATTTATATATGTATATATATTAATATTATATGATATCAGAAGTTTAAATTGGAATAGTTGGAGCAGTTGGATAATTAACAATTTAAACTCTAGAGTTAAGGAGATTGTGCTGGAGTAGTGAGAGGATGTGTGACCTATTGCAAAGTGAGTTTGAGAATTAAATTTAAATGTTTAGAGTTTGATTTAGAGTCGGGATCGAGTTCGAAGTCGGGTCAGGGTCGGATTTAGGGTTTCGGGATTTGGGGTTCAGGTTTCGGGTTTCGGAAGTATGTGTTTATGTATGTATATATGTGTATGTATGTGTTTATGTATGTATATATGTGTATGTGTGTGTTTGTGTATTTATATGTATATGTGTGTTGTGTATGTATGTGAATATGAATATGCGTATGGAAATGTGTACGTTGTTTTCTGTATGTAAAATATGTGTGTATTTATGTATGTATGTGTATATGTGTAAATATGTATGAATATATATATATGTAAAATTATATGTGTAATGATGTGTATATAAATGTATGTGTATGTATATGTAAATGTATAATATATTATTTTTGATTTTTTTAAATTAAAAAATATTTGTGACAAAATTTTTCGTATGTCGCAAAATGCAGATTTCATCTGTCGCAATTTTATCAATGGATTAACGTATGAAAAACTTTTGCGACAACGTTTTACGGACGAAAATTTTTTCGTCGTATTCCATCAAAAATTTGTAATTGCGATGAATTTTTTTTTATATTTACAACATATTTTTTCTATCATAATTTTGGATGTTTCTTGTAATGTTTTTATTTAGAAAATATTTCTTTTTTTTAAATTACGGATTTTTGAAATTTAGTTCGATTCTGAAAAACTCGGTTAGATATTTGTGTATATATATGTAATTGTATATGTATATGTAAATGTGTATGTATGTGTAAATATATGTACACGTATATATGTGAAAATATATGTATATGTATATTTCTTTGTGTATATATATGTATAGGTATATGTATATGTATTAATATTTAATTGTATCAGAAGTTTAACTTGGAGTAGTCGAAAGTTTGTTAATTAGAATTAGAGGGTTAAGTTTATTTGTGTTGAATTAGTGGAAGGATGAAAGACCTAATGGAAAGTTAGGGTTTGGGGTTTATGTCGGGTGTCGGGATTAAGGATTTTAATTTTAAAATTTTAATTTTTAATTTTAATTATTTTTTTTTTAATTTTTATAAGCTTTAAGTTTCAATTTTAATGTTTAGGGTTTAGGGTTTAGGGTTTAGGGTTTAGGGTTTAGGGTTTAGGGTTTAGGGTTTAGGGTTTAGGGTTTAGGGTTTAGGGTTTAGGGTTTAGGGTTTAGGGTTTAGGG